CGCGCTGCTGCAGCGGCTGCCGGAGGCGTTCGGGACTCCCTAACGGAAACGCACGCTCGCCCGCGGCCCCGCGCGTGCACGCTGGCGTGCACACTAGCGTACACACTGGCACACGTGCGCACAGCGGCCGCTCGGTGGTTGTTTACCGCCCTGCGGGAACTAGGTTTGGTGACATTAACGCCAAGGTTTCTGTGAAAGAGAAGGGCCAGAGCCATTCTGGAGGGGACACGGAGAGCTCATGTCACCCTGATTGGGATTGGATCCTTCTGTATCTGGGGATTTTTCACGAGGCCCTCCTTAGCCCCGCCCCCGCGCAAGGAATTCCCAGATTCGCTTCTTAGGATCTGTCAGCTCCCTGAAATTATGTTCCAAATTTTGCATCTACCTACAAATATCTGGAATGAGGGACCACAGCTTTCAAATGATTAGACAGCTGTGTGACACCCCCACCCCCACCCCAAACTGTAAGGATGGATGGACTAAACCAGTGATTCCCAAACTTTGCTGCATATTAAATCACCCAGGGAGTTTTTCAAATCTCCATGCCCTTTATGGCATCCCAGACCGATTAACTTAGTACAATGGGATTCAGTATTTTTAAAGATCCCAGGTGATTCCAATATTCAAGAAAGTTTGAGAGCCACTGCTTAGACTGTTGGTGGCCCACATTGTATAGTTTTCTTTCACCCAGTTTTTCAACTTGATTGCTTGTCTGTCTTTTCCGTGAGGTGGTGGATGTCACACTGCATCTAGCCCAGATCTAGCTCACAGTAGGTGCTCAGTATGCATTTACTGCAGGAAGGAGGCAAAGGCAGAGTCCAGAATGTGTCCTCTAACTTGCAGCCCCCTGTTTGCTCTTTCTGAAATACTCCACAGGCTGAAAAACCCTTGACCTCAGGGCGATGGCTTCCTGTATGCCTGACGCTGCAAAAGAAAATGGATCATTGCAGCTTGAAAGGGTATCTGTCTTTTAGATGCTTCCAGATGTCTCCGCCCGAGAATTCCCCTACCTGCCTCACTATGACTCAAAGGACCAGCACTTGGCAGTGTGGGTGACTACAATAGAAGTCACAACCCCATGGATGGCACACCCCTGAGTCCAAGACTATGATAAGGTACTTTATATTCAGGGAAGAACTGGCCTGGTACAATCACTGGGCCTCAATATTCTTCTGTTGAATATAAACACAAATAACTTCTCAGAATATCATCAGAAAAGGCCCCTCTGTGACCACGATGGATGAAGACAAAAACAAGACTACTCCTTAATCATGTCTGAACACAGACAAAACATGAACATTGTCCAAGCCACGATGGACACACAGCTATCCTGGCCAATTAGAGTGACCACTGCCTTAGCCTCTCTCTAGTCTGCCCTTCTATGGATAAGATTTATGAAGATGCACATTCATAGAATTACCCCTGCCTTCCTAAGCCCTCCCCCAATCAACTAACAAAACCCCAAATCCTTTCATAATATCCTCTGATACCTTCTCACTGACACACCTCCGAGGTTTACCATGATGTGCATTTCCCTCACTCCAATGAGCAATAAAGTCAACTTGTTTAACTATAGGTGCATTCCGAGTGTTCTTTGGCAAGGGAGCATTAAAAACCGCTTATCTTAATCATCACAATAATAGCAGAAGGTAGACATACCCTTTTCACATATAAGCTAATTGGGGTTCATACAGAGTTCCATAGAACTAGGGAATTCAAACTTACACAGGGCTGCCCAGCCATCAGTGGAGAGCTGGGGTTCATGTTCATGTGGGTTTGTGGGGAGCCAGGCTAGTGTGTTACTTATTCACAAGAACTGTGGCTTCCAGATGAGCCTGTGTCCCAACCCCAGCTTGTCTTCTAGCTATGGAAATCTGAGCAAGTCATTTAACTTTCTCAACTTCGGCTTCCTTGCAAAAGAAAAAAAAAAGTGGATCTAGGAACTGGTATTTTTTTATTGAGATATACTATATATTTATTAGTTTCCAGTGTACAACATAATGATTTGATATATATGTGAAATGATCAGCTTAGTAAGTCTAGTTAACATCCATCACCACACATAGTTACATTTTTTTTCTTGTGATGAGAACTTTTAATATCTAATCTCTTAGCAACTTTCAAAGAGACAATTCAGTATTAACTAAAATGATATATATACTATTGGTATTTTTTTTATAAGCTCCCCAGGTGGCCCAACGCAGCACCTATTGGCAGATCCTGGTTTGGTAATTTACCTTGCAGCTGCCAGATGTGAGGTACCCTTTGCCAGATGCCATTTTCTCACTTATCTCTTCTGGAAATTCTCCTTTGGCTTCATATGACAAGCAACTGAGGCCCACGAAGAACTGTGGGCAACTCAAGCCTGAATAAACACGTGAGTGGACTTGGAAGTGGATCCTTCAACTGCCCCTCCCCCAACCCAGAGTTTTCAGAAGACTGTTGCCCTGATGGACAGCTTGCCTCCAATGTCATGACAGACCCTGAGCCACAACCAGCCAGCTAAGCCACTTACAGATTCCTGCCGCATACAAACTATGAAATAATAAATATTTGTTGTTTTAAGCTGTGAAATTTGGGGGTAATCTGTTATGCAGCAAAAAATAACTAATACAAAAGGAAATAAGATCCCATAGTTTGTGCCATGGAATTACATTATTTGCACTTTTAACTTAGGTAAATTCAACCCTACTTGCTCTGCAAAAGAGGGAGAGAGAACAATCTGCAGTGCCAACAATTCTGCCTGCTACTCCAGTGAAATAAGATGATGAGACGAAGAGGTGGATCTGGTTTCATCAGTCAGTCTCTGACCCAGCCCTGGGTATCTCTCATAGGGAAGAAAGTCTTGCTGCTGGCTGTGTGGCTCATATTTTCAACTATCCATGTTTTGTGCAAAGTGGGAAGAGTGAGGCTAATTCACTGACTTGGGTTCTATATATAACATAGTCAGAATGACCCTGGCATTCCCTTAACTCATCAGGACCTGAGCCCAGGACATCCCCCAACCAAGAACAGTACCGACCTTAGGCCAGTGTAAGAGGGAGCCTACCCTGGGACCCTGGGACCATGGGACCCTGGCTCCAGGGGACACTTCCATGGCCCTCCTCCAGCCACAGCCCCAGGAAGGGAGGCATCCATGAGGCCCAAGAGATGTGCCCTTCCAGAGCCTGTGCCTCACCCTCACTTCTAGATGAGACCCCACACCCCTATCCAAATAGGCCCTGAGGCCATTTCCAGGGACTGCAGAGGACATTCCCCAGGTCCAGCTTTCCAGAAGTGGGACCTACCACTAGAGAACACACGCCAGGGCCGAGCACAGTGATTAAAGGAATGTGTGTGGAGCTTGCTTGTGCAAGCTGAGTGGTCCACACGTGAGCACAGAGCCCCTGGCCAGCAGATGGACCAGCCATGGAAAGTGAGAAGGGAGGCCCACCGACCCCGAGCCAGCTCTCCTAACGCTGTCTCACACTAGTGTGGACTGAGAACTCTAGCTTGACCTGCCCTTCCACGTCATTTGACAGGAATAATTGTCAAGGCAGGAAAACACAGTATATTTCATTTAACAGTGTGTTCGCTCAATTTATAACTTTTACATGTTTAGACATATTACATATGGACGTCTGTTTGTACCCTCGCCCACGGTCCCACAAATGATCAGGATGCCCCGACCCAGAACTGACTTCCTCATCTTCATTTTGGTTCACTCTTTCGGTTTTTGGCCACTTCATTTTGGCCACTCTTTGTTGAGGGAGCGGAGGCCGAGGCATTATTTGAGTGGGAGAGGAGGGCAATGG